GAAAGCTTAGTGTAAAGAAAATGAGGGACTAACAAAGACAAGGAAAGGAAAATGTGGGACATGCTGTGATATTATGAAATTTCTGAAAATAATTATTGATGTCCATAACACTGCATACATACCTTCCCCTGTATCACCCCAAAGAGGGAAGGGATTATACAAAATTGTGTGATCCTGATCTCTGATTTTTTCTCCCAATAATCCCTTTGAGGACCATGGAGGTACAGTTTGAAAACTGAGGCTGAGAAACCATGGAGGGCTTCAGGCAGTCCAGAAATGTCAGCTGGCAAGCTGAAATTCTTTCTGTGTGTCTGCATCTATTCCCTCAGCCCTTGCACTGACGGCCAGAGTAGACATATATCTCCATCCAGTAGCTCAGTCTTCTAAAAGCTTTACTTGAGAGTAGGCATAAAAGTCCTGAGTCCCCTAAAGTCCCATGCTAGGGCCTGATTTGCATTGGGGGTAGGGTGGGTTCTACTCTTGAGTAAAAATGGAAAATTACAAAGTAACGTCTGTTTTGGCCCTGATTTCTCAGGTTTCATTCTCAGAAGCAGAAAAGGGAAATAGTGTTACCTTTGGAAACAGGCCACATTAAAGACATTTTCCGTAAGCAAGGAGAAATCCACAATAAGATGATTTTTACAATCTATGTGTATTAATACAACAGGCCATCCTATCTGGTTAAAAACAAACCATTGTGGGTTTTTCCCTACATTTCAACTCCCCACTCTCTCTCTGTGCATAAATTTTGCATGATTTTTTCTTCATTTCATGAAAAAATGACCTCAATCCATTTTAGCACTTTTGCAACCAAAAGCCACACACACATACTGTGTTTTGGGGCTGGTTTTTATTATGATTTTGTGGTCCAAAGCAGGGGTTTCTGATTCTAGGATAGACAGTAGCTTTCTCTTACACTGATTTCTTTTTTCATTTTTAAATGTTTTCCTTTGAAATTCCGGAGTTAGTGTTGTGTCTGCTTTCTCCCTGACCCTCTTCGCAGGCAGCCATGTGTGTTTTCACCAACAAGAAAAAAGAAAAAAAGAAGAAGTGGGGGGCGGGTGGAGAAAAAGAAACTCTCTGGAAACAAAGATCCGTTGTCTCTGAGCTGGAGCAAGCAGGAAACTCTACTCACAGGGGATCACGGCAGGCCAATGCTGTCCCAGCACTAGACTCCAGTTCTCTGAATTCAACCTGACAGCTTGTCTGGAGCACTTTCTAAGTCACCATTATCCTTCCTTTCCCCCTGGCAAAAGAAGTGGGCTTCCCTCCCTCCCTCTTGCCCTGGGTGCACAGCAAGCGGTGTTATTGCACATGTGTGTGGGTTATGAGCTGGCTGGCTTTGGTTTGCACCTTCAGAAAGATCTTAGAAAGGCCAGGCTGTTTCCTAAAATAAAAACGAAATGTGTTTCCTTATGGTTTGTTTCTGCATAGCTGCAGCACATCCGTGTGTGCGGGACGCATGCGTGTGCCGCCGGGTTGTGTCACATCTCTGTGTGCTCCTCATGCACATACGAGGTGACTGTGTGCTCTGAGGTGTGTAGTTGCCTCTTCTGTTTGTGCTGTAGTCCAGTGAGCTTGCTGCACAGCTGTGGAACGGGCGCGATGCAAAACAGGTGTGGGAAATACGTAGTTCTACAGATGTTGGTGAACTGCAGCTTCCATCAGCCTTAATCCACAAAGCCAGGGGTGAGGATAGGAGTTGTAGTCTAGCAACATTCAGAGGGGCACACATGTGCCATGCCTTCTGCTAGAGTCAGGGCATTCCAGTCCTCACTCAGACATAGCCTGGCCTTGGCCCTGGTTACTAACCTACTTCTCAACGTTCTCATAAGGATAAAATTGGTGGAAGTGGCAAAGAATTTGGACTGGGCCCAGACTTGATGTTTTTCTTGCCTCAGGCATTTTCTAGTGGGGTTCACAAGAACCCACAATGTGACTCGTGTGTGTGTGCGAGTGTACATCCCAAAAGCAGGACTAATTGTAAACTGCACTTGAAATTCTGCCTGTAAGGCTATCTTTTTTGCTCATGGAAAAAGGTTGGAATCTTAAGAAAGAAAAGAAAATCCCAGCTTGTTTCTTGTTGAGCGAGACGGTACCTCCCTCTGACACTCCTTCTGTTAATAGTATTTGGGCCTGTGCACACTCATTCAAGAATATCTTAGATTTTGGTTGATGTTGATTCAGAGCTGTTATCCTGAAGGAAAAATTCTTGTTTGCTTAGCAGAGAAATTCTGGGATTTCTGTTTTTGTTTCTAACAGAACTGTTGGGTTGGCAAGAAACAAAGACAGCAGATCCAGATCTGCATTTCTTAATAAGTGAACTTACTTGGGAGTAAGGATGGATGAATTCATCTGTTCCACTTCCTATAATGTTGGCCTTTGTGTGAAAGTAAGTTAATTCTGTCCTGTTTCTGCTTCAGTTTGCACCTGGCTTTTTAAAGGTCTGTATAAAAATGAGTGCACATTTTTAAGGTAATTTTCCCTCACAATGATTTTTGCAGGGGCTTCTAATATAGGGGTAGAGAACATGTCTCCCTCCACATCATGCCTCACCATTGTCTGTGCTGGCTGAGGCTGTCCTTTCAGTACAGTATCTGAAGGATCGCACGTTCCACAGCCGTATCCTAAAACATGTCTTTTGAACACCATATCCTAATATAGAAAAAAATGTTGGAGAACTGCATTGCACACCAAAAGATAATTGTGTTGTAGCTCATGTATTAGTTTAGGAAGCATGGCTAGGTTTGCCTCCATTCATACTTGAGAGCCAAACCTCCTGAGCAAAGTTAGTTACTTTGTAAGGATGTTAGTTACTCTGATAAGGATGAGTAGATTTGGGTTGCCTATGCACGTTATCAATTTAGGGGACAATCCTACGAGTCCCCAACATTGCTCAGGGAACTATGGGGTTATTTGGAGTCCCACTTCCAAGGTCCTCTGACCATAGATCTGGAACTCCAGAGGGAGGACACTCATTCATATCCATTGCAGCTGGCCTGAAAAGAACCACCTCAGCTGCTTGACCAAGGTTAGAGATCAGCCTTGGAGAGGGCTAAAAGGGAGGCGAGGAGGCTGAGGTCAATGTCTTATGTCATATCTCAACAACATGGACCTTCTTCTCTACCCTTCTGTGGTACTTTATCTAAATGGATAGAAATGGCTGTCTAGATGGAGTGCGGGGCATGAGGTCCAGGGCAGAGGAAATTGCCATGTCACACCTCATGACCTGCTTGGGATGCACAGAAGTCTCCAGATGACATGCATCAAGCGCCGAGGGGAGAGGAATTTGCTCTCAAAGTTTTAGTATGAGCATTTGGAACACAGGGAGTTGCCTTGTACTCAGACCATTAATCTGTCTAGCCCACTATTTTCAACACTGACTGGTAGCAGCTTTCCAGAGTTTCAGGGAGGGTCCCTTCCTAATCCTGCCTGGAGATGTCAAGAATTGAACCTTCTGTGTGTAAGCAAGTGCTCTACCACTGAGCCACAGCCTCTCCTGGATCCCCAAGGCTCCATTTGACTAGAAGATGCAGATTATCCAGCTTACCCTCTGTTGCACGTTCAGTGCTTTGAATCTTTGCAGAAAGTGCTACATAAATACAGTAGATGAATATGTAAAGGAATAAGTTTAGTGCCATAGTGCTTTGGAATTGATTTGGGATGGATCTTGTTGTCCTTAGGGGTACAAATTCATGGAGGACTGTTCAGTTCATCAAACCTCTATGTGGAAACCTAACACACTAACAAATACCAGTTGTTGTCACAGGGCTTCTCAGAAGCATCTTCCAGAGAGGGAAGCTGGATGCTGGACAAGATTTGGACAAACCGAATCATTGGTTTAATGCATAAACATCTTCCTACATTCCAGTTTTTCCCTTTTATAGGACCATGGAAATAGTTTTGCAAGTATTGAATGCTTTGCTTGTCCAAGCACAGCATTTTATATATCAACAGATGTGCAACAAATCTTTTCTCTGAAAACGATCAGAGAAGGAAATTACAAAACATCCTTAGTCAGCTTATTCCATTAATGAGTGACTAGAGTCCCAAGATCTCACATGTTTCGCTTTTGTTCATTCATTCTCTTTCTGCGATGACCAGAAGGCACACATATCAAATCCTGGGACCAAATCCTTTGCCCTGCCGGCTCAGGCAAAGGATCCTTCTCATTGTATTCAGAGTGAGGCCAACCAAAGGTGTGAAGATCTGTGGTTGTCCACATGTTTTTAAAAAGTCCCATCTCATATAAGATCCATGAGGAAGCCTGCCATGGGTGCAACATGCATGCATCCATGCATGTGCTAATCTGAGCTTCCACCTCATCAGTCTACGCTTACCAGGTAGGATTAGTAACTGCAGTTATATTTGCACTGGATATCCCTGGACCCAGCTTGACTTTTAAGATAAGCACCCTAAAGCAATGGATGATGATGCTCCTTTCTCATACTGAATGAAATGACTTTGCTGCAGCATATATAGAATAGCTTCTTATGCATTGCCCAAAAAGAGGAAATGCTTCACTAAAAGGAGGACATAAAAAGAGACCCATATGCATAGTTATGTGTGTTTATGTATGTGCATAGTTAGAAATATTAATTATTTCAATTCAAATGGAATACCATTCAACACAGGAGAAGGACTGTGAACAGGTGACCATCTGCATGCCTGCTCTGTCTGGTGGCCAGGTGCTAACTCTCAATGTGAAAATTCAAGGCTCTACTTCTTGTGTATCATAATTCTTTATCTCTAAATCTAACTTGGACTGGACTTGGACTTGGACTAAATCTAACTTTATCCCATACAGGACATGTTCAAACAGATTTCCTAAATAGAGGACTGTCCTCTGTGAAGTAGGGCACCTGGCCACTTATCACATTGATATTCCTTAGACATTGTCAAGCACCAATCTTTTTTTTCTTTTTAGTGCTTCCTAGCCTCAATGTCCTTATATGACTCTAACCACTACTTTTCTCTTTTTATTCCTATTTTACTGCTAGATGCCTCTTATGATGCAGTTAGAAGATCAGGATGGGGCAATAACATGCATTCCAGCCACAATAAAAGTGAGTTTGTGTCATATGTCTTTTGCTTAGATAAATAGAAAACACTTTTTCATAATAGCCACATTTTCAAGTGAATAATTGTTGTGAAGTTAGTACTGATATAAATTATTAGTTTTATGAATATTGTAGGTCATTTTCTGCTTCATTGGCGAGAAGAACTGGGCAAAATAATTTTAAATAAAGTCTCACTTGCTAACTCTGCCCACACCAAGGCAGAATTCTCTTTACCCCTCAAATTAATCATCAGTTAAGTCTTGCAGAATTCTTTCATTAGTCATTTTGGTACTCACCATCATTTGGGTCTCACTTTAGGAATGGAAATGATCAGCAGAGATACACAGGAGAATAATTGTTGTATAATCCCTGCATTGTTTGTAGTGCATGTAAATGGAGTCAGATGATCCTAACTGCTATTTTAATTGTGTTTTGAATATATTTACTATATTGACAACTTGCATCATTAGCCAATCTAAGAATAGTTTGTAAGGTGGAAGCCTAGCAGGGCCGGTGATTGTAAAGAGAAGGCCGGGATAGTGGAAGATGAGAATACATCTCTGGCTTGGATTTTAAGCCAAGATGAAGAAGAACCCAGAGGCTTGAGTTCCCAAAAATCCTTCTTGAGCCTGGCTTGTGAGAATCTCACCAGCATCTCTAGAACTGGTGAACAGAAACGTAGTCGTTGCGTCTGCTTTAAATAACTCTATAAATATCATTTGACATATTTCGGAGCTGTGATTGCCCTGCTTCTTTCTTTCTCTGTTCTAAAATATCGACATTTTACTGTTATTACTAGGTCCTCCTCTGGGAGGGACACAAAATGTGAACAAAAACGTAGAGCAGCAACGATCCCAGCCAGGTAATTGTCACTGATACCAGTGAATGAAACTAATGTGTGAAAATATATCTGTGCCGGCTAGCTAGCAATTTGGAGGAGGGGAAGATAGCTAGGACCAGAAAAGCCCGAACTGTATCATGTTCTCTTGAGGTGGGCCACTAAAAGATCATGGATGGACAGATGGATGGACAGATGGATGGACGGACAGACAGATGGCCAGACTGCCTGCAGAACTGGACAGAGAAGGGGTGTATAGTTTACCTGATACACTTAACCTGGAACTTTCCAGTGGTTTGAATTGCAACTACCGTAGACCCTTTAACATTGGACATTTTGTCTATCACTGATGGGAAATGTGGTCCCAAATATCATGACTGTTAGTTCTGAAGTCCTTTCTTTTCTTTCCTACATTAATGTGGTTAGCTATTGGAAGGCCCAATGTGATAGTTCAATGATAGAGCACAAGCTAAACATAAGGAAGGGGCCACAGCACAGATGGTGTTATGGTCATATTGAGGCTAAAGATACAATTGGAACTCTGTTGTCCTGTCTGTGGACAGTAGGTTGAATGATGTTGTATTTCCTTCCTGTTTTTTGCTCCCTTTCCTTAGATCCCTACCAGATTTTAGGACCCACCAGCAGCCGTTTAGCCAACCCAGGTGAGTCTACTTGAATAAGGAGCTTATTAATCCACTGCCTAAATTCATCTTTCCAGGCTAAGCTCAAAGTATTTTAATTTGCCCAGACATTTGAAAAAGGTTGTATTGTCTGCAGTTTTATGATGTTGCTACCTCCCCTTTTTTGTGTTGGTTTGGGTTTTTTAATGCCACTTTGTTTTATAATTTTTCTTGATATACTTTAATTATTGTGCACCACAATGGAATCTGTTAGGATAAAGGGTGGACTAGACATTTTAAAATAATAAAATAAGAGATAACTTTCAGCTCTTTTCAAGTGTCCTGACTACCATTCCATTGCTTAATGGATTTCTTTTCAATTAAGTCTTAAGTGCCTGATCCCACCTAATCTTAAGTAGGGTTAGACCTAGTTGAAATCTGGATGGGTGACATGAATCCTGCATTGAGCAGATGGTTGGACCTGATGGTCTGCTAGGCCCCTTCCAACTGTATGATTTTATGATTCTATGAAATAGTCACAAAATATTATGGTCACATGGTGTTTCAGTTTCAGAGGACAGTTAATGTGTACAAGGGGTATTACTGTGAGCTGAAACAGTTTTGTATGTGAGGAATTCATTTCAGAGAAAGGAAGAGGTTTGCTGAATATATATTTTGGCTAGTGGAGTTTTCCAAATACCATGCCAAGGCCCATAAGACCTGAAAAAATGCACCCTGAGATTTTGTACCAGCCTTCCTGTACTTGGGGCCCTGCAGATGTTTAGGAATACAACTTGTAGCATTCCTGATCATTGGGCTTGGTTCCTGGGAGTGCTGCAAATAGAATAATGGGATAGAAGAGTTGGAAGGGGCCATGAAGGCCATCAGATCCAACCTCCTGCTTTTGGACGACACCACGTCACACCATCCCACTCAGATGGGTGTCCAGTTTCACCTTGAATGTCTCTAGTGTGAGAGGACCTACCACCTCTCTAGGCAACTGGTTCCACTGTTGCATTGCTCTGACAGTGAGGAAGCTTTTCCTGGTCTCTAACCTGAATCTGTGTTGTTGCAACTTGAACTGATTATTCCATGTCCTATATGCTGGTGTCAGCAAGAGGAGATCTTGCCCTTCCTCTTTGTGTCAGCCTTTGAGGTACTTACAGAGGGATATCATGTCCCCCCTCAATCTTCTCTTCTCAAGGCTGAACATGCCCAGTTCTCTTTGTGTCTGATTTAGAAGCCAATTTTGGATCCACCTAATAGTATTTCTATCTAGTCCACTTTTGCTAATTTGCTTATCAGAATGTTGTGGGGAACTATGTCGAAAGCTTTGCTAAAGTCAAGGTAGATTATGTCCACAGTGTTCCCTCTGTCCATTTGGGAGTTAACCCAGTCAAATGACATCCAAATGAAGATGAAGTCCAAAACATCTGGGCAGAAGGAGATTGGGGAAAGCCATCTTACACCCAAACCCTTACAGAGTAACAGTGTTAATCCTCCCTCATGCACGCACCCTCAGAACAGCTCTATCTTGTTAGAGGGAAGCTGTAAAATTGTTACTGGAATTAGCTTCTCTCCCATAGAAAAAGCAACTTTGAGAGAGTGAGTTTTTTGTGGTACCAGTAGCAGCTTTCTTCCTGTGGGAAATAACCTGGGACTACTGGGGGTTATTTGGAGTGCACGGGAAGAAAAAGGTAAATTCCTTCCCAATAGTTCCAGTCCTGATCACCTCTTCCCACATGGCTGGTATTTAAGAAGTGAACAATCAAAAGCCCAAGACATTCACTGAACACTTTGTGTTTGCCACCCTTCTTGCTATCTCAAGTGGTCTCAGTCCTGAGAGGGATATACATTCTCCTTGTCACTTGAAGGTAATTGGAGACAACCTGTTGCTTATCAGATGAAGACTGTGACAACTTAAAACATAAGTGATAGTTCATATTATTCCCAATCTGCAGAAAAAAATATATTTTCAAATGCTTTGAAACTTAGTATCATGTCACTTGTGGACAGGCAACCTGTAGGCCAAAACATCTGGAGGACTACAGTTCCTATCATATCCTATGGTGGCAAGGCTGATGAGAGTTGTAAGCCAAAACAGTTGTAGGAAATTGAAGTACCATAAGTTGTCAACTTTAAAATCCTGTTTTAAGTCAGGATTTTTAATGCTTTTAGAAACTCTTGGATTTTAGGCTTTGTTTGATCAGGAAATTTATAGACCACTTTCATGATAAAGTCTTTCCAAGCTGACATACAAGGATCCATTCCAAAATTGTTTAAACGCATACAAGGCAATCCAATGACCAAACCCAAATGAGCTGGATTTAGCAAAATGCAGACTGAAACGGAGGCCAATTTAACAGTTTACTGTCTTTGAGAAAAGGATTCCAAAGATATAGGGACACCCCTGGAAATGCCCTGCCTGTTTGCCTCATCAACTTTGACAGCCAGACTTCTGGCCAAATGCTGCTAAAGAGTGATGAACAAACAGTTATATGATGTCATGGCCTTTTCTCTCATCTTTTTTCAGGGAGTGGGCAAATTCAGCTATGGCAGTTCTTACTTGAATTGCTGTCGGACAGCTCCAACTCCAGCTGCATCACATGGGAAGGAACCAATGGGGAATTCAAGATGACAGACCCAGATGAGGTGGCCAGGCGCTGGGGAGAACGCAAGAGCAAACCCAACATGAATTATGACAAGCTGAGCCGAGCCCTCCGGTATTACTATGACAAGAACATTATGACCAAAGTGCATGGCAAGAGATATGCTTATAAATTTGACTTTCATGGCATCGCCCAAGCTCTTCAGCCTCACCCAACTGAGTCATCAATGTACAAATATCCTTCAGATCTTTCATACATGCCTTCATATCATACGCACCAGCAGAAAGTGAACTTTGTGCCTCCTCACCCTTCCTCTATGCCCGTCACTTCCTCCAGTTTCTTTGCAGCTGCATCACCATATTGGACATCCCCTACAGGAAGTATTTACCCAAATCCCAATGTACCACGCCATGCTAATTCCCACATGCCATCACACCTAGGCAGCTACTACTAGATGCTTTTCACCTTGGAGGCCTTTCTCATTCTGAGTGGATGTTTTCTTCCATTCTTGGATATCTCTGGACTTTTTGATAGACATTCACCTTTTAGTTGGGAAAAAGCTGAGAAACTGGATATTATTATTTTTATTATAATTATTATTGGAATAAACTTTTTTATTTTTGTAACCCTGCTTCTTCTGTCTTGAATGGCAGATGATTCTCTCATGGGCCAGTATTGTATGTTTTAGTTTGGTTCTAAGCCTTATATCCTCTTTGGACTAAATTAGCAGCTTTATGAACTTTGCAGTGGGTATCACTTCGGAAAGAGACAAAGCATTTTTTGAAGATTAAAAAAGAGACCAAGACCTTTGATTATTTGAAGATCAGAGCTTGTATGTTCCAGACTAAAGACAATGGCAGTTTTTTTTTTTTTTTCTGGTTTTGGGCAAGTAGGAAGAATTTCAAATATTATAGGGACAAGGTTTGGAGACAACAACTGGAATCTTAAAGCCAGTCATGGCCTGTCTTTTTTCACCCAACTGGAAAAAAAGGAAAGAAAATGATATATATATATATATATATATATATATATATATATATATATATATATATATTCCTATAGATACATATGTATATCTTAAGGCAATTAAGGGCATTGAAAGGACCTTTCAAGAATGTGCATATATTATACAGTTTTATTGATATTGCTGGAAACATCCAAGACCAGGAAAAAAGAAGTTATAATGCATCCAGGACAGGTATTCTTATGAATGAGAAATGGAACTAATATTAACGACAGTAACTCCTGAAGCTTTGCCGGAGTTCTGGGAGTTGCAAAAAACACCCGATTCACGAACGCTGTGCGTTTGTCAGACTGCTACACAGAGGGTCAACAAAGTCAGAGGGCAACTTACTGTATAAATTATGCAGAGTTATGTTTTTACCTATATCTCACAGTATTGAAAGAAAAAGATGAAAACTGAAACGAGTTGACCTCGGTCACAAATGCAATTATTTTTTACTATCAAATCCACTGTTTGTTTGTTTTTTACATGCGATTTGTACATCTTTCCAATCTGTACATTTGGGTTTCAGCTTTGTACTTTTTGGCTAATAAAATAAACATTTTTAAAAGGAACATGTACATAATGTGTCTGTTGCAAAAACAAGCAAACGACCCACAATTTTGAAGAAAAAAAAATAGTTATATCCAGAAACTAAGAGTGAAAGTACACTACAAATCTATATTTCTTTAACTATCCTGGCTACCCCCAAAGAATCTTGGTAATTACATTTGATAATGGAGGCAAGACTTCTCTTTAAAAGTCCACCTGTTACCCCATATGGAACACCTCAGTGTTTCCCAGAGAGAATAAATGCCAATTTAAGGGCAAAATCCTATACTATTTAGACAGAAAGAAAATTCTACAATGCCTACCATTCCTCAGTCAGGATTTTTGGCTCCCCAAATATCTATAAGACTGAGCACTAAATGTTTAAATTCATAGTGTAGGTATGAGTGTAAAACCCAGAGTGTAAAATTCTCTGGGTAATTAAAGTACAAGTTTTCTTCTGTTTCAGTTTATTTCTTATCAACATTAGTTGTCCAATGTGTTATTATATACAAAAGTGGGTAAAAGGAAAAAAAGGGTTTTGATTAACTAGAGTTGGATCCCAGTACAGAAGACCAAGATTCTCTCTGCAGGCATAAAATACTGTGCTCTGTTCTTCTCAGAACAATGACTCCTAGGACTACACCATCAGTCAGGGTTAGGGTATCATCAGAATTTTTTCCTGGGGTTCAGTTTTCTTAAAATACAGAATACAGTTTTCTTAAAATATATTTTTCCAACTGTTCGGGATATAGCCAAATGTTAAATGCTTTCCTGTGCTTTCTGCACCCATGTTGTATCCCAGGGAAAAACTACAAATATTTGTCATGTGCACTAAACATCCATCATTTGTAAACTTGCCTCTGTTGTGTCTCCATAGCTAACCCAAATATATTAATCATTGGGCTTACATAGACTTGCCAGTTTTAAAACATTGTCCGAGAGAACCCTGAGGCAGACCTATAGCCAGGCTATTTTTAAAAAATACAAATAAATTTTACAAGTTTACAGTGTTTTCTGCAGACCAAACTTTTAGGTTGACTATGGAGCTGCCATGGGACTCTTCAGAAGCTCATCAGGAGCTTCTTAACAGGACAGATGAGTGTGAAGGGAGTAGAACTCAAAAGTCTTCTGTGCCTTGGACCCTATGTTCCTGCCCCACTTTCACCAGTTAAATGGTAACAGGTGTCAGAAAAGACCTCTCTGTGAATATCTTGGGGAACCTCTCACATTCAATGGAGACAATACCAAGCTTGATGGATAATAGTCTTGTAACATAAATTTGCTGTCCAGGCTTCAGGAGGCAGGGGAAAGGTTAACTCAGGAAAGACTAAAACGCTGGAAATATCAGGTGATAGCCTTGTGGGAAACCAGCAGCCAAGGCCTTGGGGAGATTTTCACTTCCATCTCAGGTTAGGGAAAGGAGAACTCTCAATTAGCCTCAAGGCAGCAGAAGATAAACAGGGATGACAAATTGATCACCAGCTCCTAGAATTGATGGGTAACCCCTGGAGTCTGTGAATTAGGTGGTCGACCCATAGTCAGTTGACCAAGGCTGGGGAGAATGAAGCTCCAAGGGTTGATAATTGTTTTGTTCCTCTCTTGGGGAAATGTTCTGTCCTGCTACCAATCCTCCATATCAATGACCGCTCTGGTATCCTGTTTTTCTGTGCTGTTAGAAAGTAGAGTTATTTTGTCTAGGCTAAGATAGAAGATTTTTTTGGTTTTATTGTCTGAGATGGTCAGCAAGGCCCTGGGAGTCAGTTCTTGTTTGTCTGTAGCTTTCTTTGTTGCTGCTGTCCAAATCCCCTTCCCCCTCCCTTCTCCCTCTTTCCTGATTTTATCTTTTTAGACTTGTATGCATTGTTTCCCCAAGCTTGGGTCTGTCGTGTGCTGAATCCCAATGCCTGGTCCCAGGTTTCTGGACTGGGAATTTCTGGGCAGGAGTTAGTGCTGTTGTCCAGGGGAATGGGGAATCCCAGCTGGCTTCCCGTTACAAGTATGACCTAGTATAATGCAGTATTCTATGTTCATAATGGAGGACAAGTTTCCATGAAAGATAGCTTGCCTGTGATTATTCGTTGTTCCTTTAAATGAACAGCTGAATGGGAAGTTTGAGTGTGTTCCATATTATATAGAGCAATGGAGGAGCCCTGAAGTCCATACCCTTGACTAGAAATCCCGATTACGTTCAGATATCTTGTACTACAGCTCCTATCAACCTCAGCCAGCATGGCCAATGGTCAAAGATTCCAGTCCAAAGCATTTGAAGGGTATTAGGTTGTATCTACCCCTGTCCTAAGTTGTACCCCACTTTCATACCATAAGTTTACTAGAGTTTTACAAACTCCTGGTATCTCATGGCAAATCTGCAGGGGTGGGGGAGGCAATGCAGAAATGGTCACCAGATTTGTAACCCGCTGAAGATTGCAGGGCTAAGCCTGATCTTATAGAAGTGGGAACAATGGGCCTTAAGGTAATAGCAACTAAGTCTAACCTGTTCAAACTATTCTCTGGAACATTCCCAGCTCATGTACAAAAACCTACAAGAAAAAATGCCTTAAAACAGAAAATTATAAACTCGTTGTAATTTTTAAAAGAAGCACTGATAATTTTGTCTTAATTTATTGAACAATGGGATGGTAAAGCAGTCAAGCTAATCTCTTCCAGTCTGTGTGATTTTTAAAATGTTCATAGGTAATTCTTCCTTGCTGGGTATTTTTTAAAACTTAAAAAACATTCACTGGAAAGGTATTATCTAGTTTATATATGCAATGTATTTTTGGATAATAAAATATATATAATTTGCAAGTAATCTTTGGGGTTTTTTCCCTAAAAAATGTTAAGGTAAGCAGAAGAGTGTTGTATGATGATAATGACTTACGATGTTAAAAAGTGTTTTAATAAAAGGTTAATTCCTTGATTAAGAATATATATTTTAGTGATGTTTCTTTCATGCAGTTGAGCCCTAGTGCTTCTCACCATGTAGATGATCATTGCAAACACATGCAACACAGGGTCAAAATCTTATGATGTGTACCTCATTTCTGCAACCGTTGAGAAGTGTCCACCTTTGGAAGGAAGTTACTGGTGGGTTACTGGTATTTTTCAGTATTCAGTTATTCTACAAATGGTCAGGTTAGACATAGCAGGAAGAGTAATTGAGATTCTCCAACACAGAGCATCCTATAAAGGAAACTTGGAGAGACAGTCAGCATCTGAAGATACTTCCATGGCCCCAAACTCAGACTGTGCATGTCTAATTTCATTTGGTCTCTTATACAGATATGAGGATTACACTTTCTCAAGCAAGTGGATTGGTGAGATATTCAGAATGTTCCCCAACATATCCCTGTTTTGGGAAGCCACTGGAATACTACTCAGTTTCCCAGCAGTATTCCCTTTTGCTTCTAGCTTGTTTTACAAAGGGTACGCCAGGCCAAACAGGAGTCTGGGGAACCTTCTAAGAAGAACTGTGGAGCAGCAACTGAGAACATGAGCTCTGCACAAAGTGTTTGTTGTGCGTTTGTGGTTTCTCTCTCACAGAAGTTTGCTGGTCCATTCCACACTGTTGTTATTCTCCATGGTTTCTCCCATATTTTGTAGCCATTTTTGTCTTTTTTTACAGGCCACTATGTTATTGCACGTCCACAATAGTGTAGTTGTACCACAGCACCATCCTGTCATTGTGCAATGGAATCTATAACAAGCCACAACAAGGTTCACACAACTCGTAATTCCTGGTAGTTTATAAGGCAGAGGTGGCTTGTCAAGCAATCTGAATCCACCATGCTTCCTGGTCCAGACAGTGAAAAAGCCATCCCAGGCTTACAAGTCAGAGTGGATTAGCATGTTATGTGAACCTAGTTAGAGAAAGGGAACTCCTGTAAGGTGGGGGGGCATGCAAAAGACAAATTATTCCTCCTGCAAAGGAAATAAAAGGAGACTCAATCAAGTGGCTGTGAGGGCCGGGCCATGGGCAGGAGCAGGAATACGCAGAATGCCTGGTCCAGGGTATGAGCTCAAACAAGAGTCCAGAGCTTTGCCAATGGAGGTTGGAGGTGAGTCAACAGTCCCTGGTCTAAAGCACAGAGAAGCAGTTGGATTTCAGGCAGAGAGAGAGAGAGGAAGCTCAATTCCAAGGTTGGTTTACCAGATGAATCATTGCAGCAAGAGTAAGAGCAGCTGGAGCAAAACAGGGTCTACTCAGAGGAAGGCAGGAACAAGGCAAAGAGGTACTAGAAGCCAAAGCACAAGGAGTTCTGGGGACAGCTTCTGTTCCTGTGACTTGAGCCATAGTGTGAAAGTGTATTTAATGTAATTCTCCAGGATCTTCAGCTACAGAATGTTTCCCAGCTGTTTCCCCACAAGGAGCACCTGGCTCTGCAGACACTTGCGGGACCAGCCAAGTTTTGATCCTGACAGTAGCAAATTAAACATCTCCGGTGCAGAAGCTCTGACTCTCTAGGTTCCTTTGTATGTACCTTTGTAGGAACCTCTCATATGGCAAGCACTGCAATGAATTAGCTCTACATCATGCACCTGAAGGGAGAATTCTTATCACTGGAAGGATTTTAAGCAGCAGCCTTCACTCAATTCAGGTATTTAGTTCTGTGTGAGGGCCCAAGTTTCAATGATTCCTCAAGTAGGCATTGGAAATCCTACACATACCTGGTCCCTGATGTGTGCGTTTACTGTGCTATGCAGGATTTCACTTTTGTCATCCTAACCCAAAGGTTCGTAAAGTAACAGCTCTTCTCCATGGTCGCTGTGCATCACACATATGGGCCTCTGCGCCTTTTCTGCAGGGCCTAGTTTGTGGGGGAAAACCTTCAACAGCTTAGCATGCCAGAGTGAGTGGAAGCCCTCCCCTCTGGCTCCCGGGTATACAGGGAAGGGGGTTCCTGCCCAGTTCCTCAGCTCCTTTTCAACTGTGTATCACTTGTATTGAGTACGAAACACTACTGACTAGATGTCCATGCCAGACAGGACTGTGCCTTTGTGATCCTTTTTTCAGGACTCCTTC